GATCTGCTAGAAATTGATCTGCTGCCGGAAGTTGGCAGATCATTTTTTTAATTGTCTTTTTTTAAGGTAAAAACGCCGGAACTATTTCTAAAAGGTTTTTTTTACTATAGTTTTTTTCTGCATGCAATGAGAACTCTCATTTATTTTTGATCTGCTGGACAATGATCAGCTAAGTTCACTGACATCAGTTTTTTCTCTGATTTCCATACTGAAATTGACCAAAAAGAAATAATTTGCAAGTATGTACATGTAAATTAAATTTTGTATGTATTTATTTATATATTGTATGTAGTTGTTTGGTTATTTATCTGTTAGTTTTAAGTCTGTTTCCTATCCCAATTTTCTATTTGTTACTACACACTGGTGTCATTATTTTATTCTTACTTTTCCTGCTCCAGGTCCACAGGAAGAAATTCCAATAGAAATAGGTGGTACCTTTGTACTTTAATTTTATGTATGTGTTGTCCTTTATGTTGTATGTGTGTACATACATAAATAAATAAATAAATAAGCTTTTCCCACTTGATGTTAATGTTGTACATTTTAACTTCACCAGTAACGTAACACAAGCCCCTTTTTCTACAAATTTTATTTAATTAGTTGAAGATAGAAAGATTTACCTAAATACCAATTATTTAGGACCATTTTATAAACAAGCAGTTTCGAATAGAAAACAATGAAGTCTCCCGTTGCTTTCAGAAACGGTGATGGGGCTATCTAAAGAAGATTCAGTAAACTTAACCAGATTGGAAGAATTTATATTTAAAACTCACGAGTAAGTGTTTGTTTGTTTCATTATCAGGCAGTTCCTCTATCTCTTTCATGAGTAGAAGTTTAATAATTTCATCCATATTTGTTATAGATTAAAATATGATTTCGGATTTGACAACAATCACTTTCTTCGTAAAACAGACAAATTAATAAAAATTAAAAACGTAAAATATATTGTCTAAATCCACAGCATGTATAATCTTATGTTTGACAAAATGACGAAATGGTGGTTGCATGTGCCGCCTATTTACTGGTTGCTTGGCAAGAAGAAGCAACAGGATTACTACTTGAAGATGATAGATGACTTGACGGAAGATATCGTGACACGGAGGAGGAAAGCCTTGGAAGTGTCCCAGCCGAGCGAGGAGTGCATGGGTGTTGTGGACCGATTAATCCTCTCTGGAGAGCTCACTCACAAGGAGATCAAGGAGGAGACCATCACATTATTTACTAGTGTGAGTTTACTTGCCATGTACCTTTGAATATTGGTCTAATTCTTTGAAGTGCTATCTATATACACATACTCAACCTACTTCAAAAATTGTATTTATTTCTCTATAACTTTTCAGAGTCAAGAGGTAGCCGCTAAAATAGCAGCGGGAGTTCTCATGTTCCTAGCTCACTTGCCGGATTGGCAGGTTAGTCCTACGATAGCCCTTTTTCTAACTTTCCTTCCGCCATCTGTGTGAACCCCACCCTAGTCAGACAACGTAATAAATAAAGTAAAGAGGACTACTTTAACAGATATAAAATATTTGACGTTTTGTCATGAAAATATTGCAATTTTCCAGGATAAAGTATACAAGGAGATAATAGAAGTAGTCGGAGCTGACGGTCCAGTCACAGATGAGCAGCTGAAGCAGCTGGAGCAGCTGGACATGGTGTACAAGGAGACATTGCGGTACTTCCCAATAGCAGGGATGATACAGAGGACTGTGACGGAAGATATTACTATTAGAGATGGTATGCTAATTATAGAATTTTTTTTTTAAACAATTTAGCACGTTGAAGGCTTTTACGGATGCAAAGAAGGCCAGACGATACAACATTGTTCGCTCCTGTATCCTACTTACGTAAACACATGAAATAGCTTCTCTGAAATAGTTTTCTTTTTCATTTTCCAGGAAGCATCAGCGTCCCAGCTGGCACATCGCTGGTGATACCGTTCCACAACCTCCACCGCGACCCTCGCTACTGGGAGGACCCCAATAAAGTGATGCCGGAGAGGTTCCTCCCAGAGAACGTGAAGAAACGAGACCCTAACGCCTTTCTACCTTTTGGTTTGGGACCTATGGACTGTTTAGGTAACTAAACCAAATAATGGTAGTGTTAAAGTAACTGTAAAATCTATATGTCGACTCTAATATTCTGGGTGAAGCCACAGCACAAATAAGAAATTTGCATTCTTAATTTGCAGGTCGAGTTTATGGAACGGCCCTCATAAAAACGATAGTGGTGTGGGTGTTGCGGTACGCTAAGTTGGAACCCGCCATCTCCCTCGACAATATAAGGCTGAATATCGCTATCTCTGTCACCAGCTACGATGGTTATAACATTAAAGCCAGTCCTAGAAACGGGAGAATAAATGGACTATCATAAAAGGTCGTCAATGTAATTTGTGTGAATGTTAGAATGTCACTGACATATAGTTCTTAAAATCTGCATAGTGAAGTGATAATGGACAAGCTACGTCTCTCGAAGTACTGACGGGTGAGGGGCAAGGAAATTGTTCGAGCGGCATCTGTGGACTGGAAGGCGCAACGTTGATAGACCCGCTAAGTGGATTAACGACATTATCAGTGTTAATATTGAATCCAAGTGGTGGTTCGTAGTAAGGATCGTATGGTTTTAAGCTGCCTGATAATTTATTTATGTATTTAATTTAATATGCTTCGTGCACTCGATGTACAATAGGTGGACTTAATGCCGCAGGATTTTTCTCCTAGTCTGACCTGATAATTCGAGTATTTATGTGACCATTTCAAAATTCTTTAGTAGCTGTGATTGTAAACTGAGACAAGCTTGCCTGCCAATACAGCAGGGCCTCATGTCTGCTATAATTATAATTGTTGTCATTCCAACACAATCGTATTGTCATTTTGCTATAAGTTCCTAATATGCTAAATGCATAAAATTGGATGATTGACAGGTCAATGGTCTCGTAATGGAAATGTAGTAGAATGACATTGCCAATTTGCCATAATGCCATTATTATAAAACTTTGTAGTAGAAATAGTTTTCGAAAAACTACTAGGTACTAAATTTGAGCATTTGTTCATGCCAGATGTTATTTATGTTTTATTTTACAAAATATCTATCAGTATATTATTATGTTTTCGGCTTACTCACGTTATTATTGACGAGGAACTCGACTAGTTTCAAGCCATACTAGAGGCTCATAGTCGAGTTCCTCATCAATAATAACGTGAGTGAGCCGAAAACATAATAATATATATAATATGTCTCACGAAAGTTAAATTACACATATCTGTCGTTTTATGTGCAATCTGAAGTATGTCATTACGTACAAGATTACTATTTTATTCCATTACTTCCAATGGTGTGTCAATGGTTGTCCATTGGAAAGTCATAGTGACGCCATTAAATGAGTATATTATCAAACTTGTCAAAATTAACAAATTGGAAATCAATGATCGATCATTCTGACACTATTGTAATAGCAGACTTGAGGCAGGAACTCTGAAAATTGTGTAGTTCTTTTTTCAAAAGACTATACTACTAGGAACTTAAGGCCGAAACACATACCCGCGTTGCGTCGGCGCAACGCTAAAATCGGCAGTTTGCGTTGCGGCGTCGTGAAAAAGAGCGTTTTGTTGTCGTCCGGTAGAGTAACCAGTTCGTCGTGATTTTTTATTGTGGATAGACGTGTCTCTGCCATGGACCATCGTGAAAAACTTATTGCTTATTCGTTATTAAGAAGACATAACTCTGCTATGCTGGAACAAGCGCTGCGTTGCGGCGCCGCGCCGCTTAAATCGGCAGCGACGCTACTATCGATTCTAGGGGCGCGGCACTGCAACGCCGTTGTGTGTTTTATCCCTTAACTCGTCGAGTACCGTCATCATAGACACAATTATAGAACAATAGGTTGCGGTCACCGGTGACCGCTTGGTGTTTGACAGTTTAATTGGTGATTTTAATTTAACATTTATTGTGTGTAGTCTTTGAAAAAGAACCTTGAGTTTGTTTTGGTGTTTTTTCTCAACACACTATACAGTCGAAATTCATACTGTATGGCTATAAAAATATAAAATAGGCTTCCAAAAGACCTAAAAAATCCTACCTTAACGTCATTCAGAACAAATAAGTTTCTGTTACTATTCAACTAAAGAATTTGTTAATCACAAAGATTACAAGAATATTGATGTAGAGTAAAAGGTATATTTATAAGTAGAAAATAAGTCTAATATTAATTGTAAGTACACCGATTCTGTATGAGACTAATTAATTGACATAAAACACCGATTGTAACTATATTCTGACAAATATTTTTCTTTCTTTCCTACAAACTAGTCAGAGGGGAAAATTATCAAATTTATTAAGGTGATTTTAAACATTATTGGCTATTATGTTGAATGTAGGTATAAAAGTAAAACGGGTAAAATGATTTATTGATAGCCTTTTTAATAAATAAACACCATTATATATATGTAAATTTGTTTTATTTCATAATAAAATAAGCGAATAAATGGTAGGTTGAGGCCTGCCGGGTTCGGTGACTCCGCAAGGGCACCCCGGGTCACGACCACAGGCAAAGGTTTTACTCCGGCACACCCCGCCGTCGTCCCCACGACATGGGAAGTCCATGAGGATTTCCATAGCGTTATATAAAAAAAAACACACACACACAAATGAATGCAATAAAAAACCTGAATTTGAATTTCTTATAACCACGTTTTCCAACGTTTTTAAAAAAATCTCAGTAGTAGCATGGAGTCTGGAAATGTGCCCGGTATATGGCAATAGGCTCACCCCCTATAGTATCACACCCCCTATTACATGGGACTCATAACATAAATAGTGAAAAGTGGGTGTTACTTCTGTGTGCACCTCTGCCTGTTATGTTATGTTATAACCACGTTTTCCATGTGCGACATCTAGGTATGTTTTGGATTCAACTGCTCCTCCCTCAAGCTAGATTTTTTTTTATATTTGGCGGGCCACAGTTTGACTACTATCTCGCCTCGTGGCCATAGACCAGCAAACGAGCAGACGGATCACCTTATGGTAAGCAATCAGAGCCACCCATTGATTCATGCAAGACCAAAGGAGTTACAAGTACGTTACGGGTATTTAGAGAATTGGTTTTTTTTTTGATATTTCTGGTTAAGGAAGGTATAGTCGGAAGTCGGTGCCATGAGCTCAAATCATAATGATATAACTTAATGCCCACAAAATTGTAAATTATGTATCTATTAAGGTTTTAATGAATAATTTTGTATAGAACTTATGGCATCGACTTCTAACCTATCAGAGGGTGGGTAACCTATCAGTACTAGAGGTAATAATAGTTATTTTTTGCTTTTTAGTTATGACTTTTTGTTTGTTATTAGTTTGTGGTTTTTAGAAGTCGATTTTAGAAACGCAGTTTTTATTTTATTATCGAGAAAGTGTTCTTATGATCTTGGCAATGAGGCAGCAATTACTTAAAGATGCTGAACTGGTCCCATTTCACCGCAGACTTGGGACATTAGTTGATATGTATAAACTTATGTCTAAGATATGTGTGTGTCATTATTAGCGTTTGAAATAAAGTTTTTTCTTTCTTTCTTTAATAATTATGTCAATTAGTACCTTGCCGACGTTTAACCACTATCTTACCTGGTGGTAAGCTATGATGCGGTCTCCGATAGAGCACGTCGTTCCATAAGCAACCTATTCACTCGGGCCTTGAAGATTACGGATAAAATAGTTACCTATATTTTATTATGGCTAATAATATAATAAAGTAGCTTCTGCCCGCGACTTCGTACGCACAATCCCATTTTCCCCCGTTCCCGTTCGTGATTTTCGGTAAAAAGTAAAAAAAAGTATTGAATAAAAAGTATCCTATGTCCGTCTCCTGGTTCCAAGCTACCACCCTGCCAATTTTCATCTAAATCGATCGAGGCGTTCTTGAGTTATAAAATTAAATAGTGTAACTAACACGACTTTCTTTTATATATATATATATAGAGGTATATATAGATAATAATAGTAATTGTAATTTTCACAATATTGCATGCTAAATGGCAGAATGTAGCTGATCAAACTATGTATTTTATTCGCAATAAACATTTGAATTTGAAAATAAATCTATCAAGTAAGTTTATCGATTGTGGAATACCACAGATGGGGCCCAACAGGGCCGATGCCGATTCGGAGTCGCGGAGAACCTAACGGGTAACCGGGGCTCCGGCTCTTACTGACTAATAACCACCCCGTTCCTTCTCCTGCACATCGAGCCGGAGCCCCGGTAACCCGTTAGGTTCTCCGCGACGAATGAACAGTATGCCATGGTTTACCCAGTGGGCTACAACATGGAATTCTTCAAGAAGGGAGTAAATAGATTTTTAAGGGTCGGCAAGGCGCATGTAATATTCTAATGCCTCAAGCAAGATCTGTCCCAAGTCTTGCGAGTGTCCATAGGCCACGGTAACCGCTTTTTTTTTTAAGGGGGGACAATCATCGAATGACTGCTCCCGTCTGGGTTAGGCGGGAGGGAGAGTCAGACTCTTACTGACTAAAAACCACCCCGTTCCTTCTCCTGCACCATCAAGTGGGCCGTCAGAATTTTTGGTATGGTCGTGGTATAAAAAAAGTTATACAGAGTAGCAAAACATATTCAAATTAAGTTCATATACTGGTGCACCCTGCCCAAGCTCAAAATCATCCCTTAGTAAAAAAGAAGTGTATCAGATCAGAATAAAAAATAAAATATTGATTAGAATTTGCAACAAAGTCTTATTTTTATGTTGGTCAAAGATACTTTATACTTACCATACTTTTACCTTATATACATACATACATACATAACTTTACGTCTGTCTCCCATGGGGGTAGGCAGAGAATATTGAACGCCAATTACCTACTACGATTCCTACATACCTCTTTCGCTTCATCATTCAACAGTCATCAATCTTTTCATGCATGCTGGTCTTCTTCTTCTTATAGTGCCTCTTCAATGTTGAAGGTCGGCCGTCAGCTTCTTGTATTTCTCCTTGTCGGTAGCCATGCGGAACAATTGTTCGACAGATGTAATGCCGGTCCACTCCCGGATGTTTCGCAGCCACGATTTTCTTCTGCGCCCAGCACGTCTCTTCCCCTCCACTTTGCCCATCATGATCAGTTGAAGCAGTGAATATCTATCGTGTCTAAGCACGTGACCGAGATATTCGATTTTTCGCTTTTTGATGGTCAGCATAATTTTCCGGGTCATTTGGACGCGCTGTAGCACGGATTCGTTGCTGACCCTTTGTGTCCAGCTGATTCGGAGCATACGACGGTAACACCACATCTCGAATGCATTTATACGTCTCGTAGTGTCCTCCTTCACGGTCCATGCTTCACATCCGTACATGACTAGAGGCCAGATGTAGCAGAAGAGTAACCTAACTCTGAGCTTAATGTTTATTTGACGACAACACAGAACTTTCCTCATTTTGTTAAAAGATGCTCGGGCAATTTCTATCCGGGTCTTAATTTCTTGATCTGATTCCCATACTTCATTTACCCAAGCACCGAGATACTTGTATTGTCGTACTCGTTCGAGTGGTTTGCCATCTATGTTTATAATTGGGTCAAGATCAGGATTTTTGGAGACAACCATCAACTTGGTTTTACTGATGTTAATAGACAGACCGGCTTTCTCGCTTGTCTCGTTGACTTTATTTACAATTGTCTGTAAGTCACGTTCCGAAGCAGCAACAAGAACCGTGTCATCTGCATATCTCAAGTTGTTTACCAGCGTGCCATTAATCTTTACTCCAGCATCGAGGTTTGCATGCTGGTCGGTTAACCCTTAACTTTTAATTTGGCCCTTGTTTAATATATTGCCAATCTTTTCAATATGTCCGTCCAGGGCGCCCTCTACCGTCGGCCCCATTCATATCCGCTCTATATACTTCTTACGTTACTTTACTTTAATTTTACCTTACTTATTATTATTTTTATTACTTTTATCTTATATATAATTACATATATGTATACACATTACATACTTACTTAATTACATCAAGCTAAGGAGTTTCTTCGTTGGAACCTGCTAATTTTTTTTTACCTTATCAATTGGGATAATCAACGGGTATGAAAATTAAAAATCTAATTAGTCCGTAAATTAGGTAATGAAAAAA